TGAAATTTTAGTTATGTAATTTAATCAAATGGGTCAACCTATCAAAATGGGACCCAATAAAAATAAATTCTATTTAATGATATGATCATGAATTTTAATCTTCATGATATTAGTTTTTTTGGTAATGGTTTTACTTTTTTTTTTTTTTTGATAAGTACAAATTTGCATTAAGGGAAAAAGAACAAATTAATACAAGCTAATCATAAAGTGCAAATCACATATTCCTTCTTCAGCAGATCAAACAGTGAAAAAGGAATATCTGAAGTAGAAAAGGAATCGAAACAAAAATTGTCAGCTAAAGCAAGAGTGGCACATAAATTAGCCACCTTTTTACAATTCCTAGAGGTATGTAAAATAACCACCTTATTAAAATAGAAAAAGAATGAGATCTTCTCGGGAATCTGGTTGTTAGTCTTGGATTCCTTCATAGAATCATGAAGGAACTTGATAACATTATAGCTATCACCCTCAATTATTAACCCTTTACTCTCTAGCATCCAATCGGTGATGAATCCTTAATTGAGAAGACAGCATCCAACTCAAGCTGGTTGATGTCCCAATGGAGTTGCTGCTTACCGAAGGCTAGGAGCGGTTTGCCCATACAGTCACGAACAATGCCCCCATTACTAGCCATATTTGAATGAAGCAAAGATGCATCTACATTGATTTTAATCCAATCCGGTGGTGGGGGGTGCCATGTAGGATCAGACTCCCTAAGGAGAGAAGCATCCCAGTTAACCAGCATTGAATTCTTTTTGGTCGCAGTAAAAAGAACATTGGCTGCAATGACCGAGGTGGGAAGAATTGGACCGCCATGTTTAAAGTTATTCCTGCAGTTCCATGAATAGAAGATAGCAGTACAGTATATCTTGACGATGTCGAGGCAGATGTTAGCAAGGCATCTGAGATTTTGGAGATAATTAGCCAACGAGCTGAAAATGAGAATATTGATTCCCCAAGATCTCAACATGTGAATGATCTCAATAAGATACTTACAGTGAACCACAACATGAGCACTACTTTCAACTTCAGAGCACCCTCTAGCACAAAAGTCATTATTTCCAATTCATCTATACATTAAGAACTCGTTGGTGGGTATGGCAAACTTGCCCAATCTCCACCAAAAGAGTTCAATTCTCGGTCTGAGATGCTGCTTTCGGAGCCAGGCTATGTATCCAGAATCATCAGAAGAAACGAGAGACTTGATGGATTCAGCATAAGCCAAAGATGAGATTGATTTCCCAGAGTGTTGATAGAGAAGTTCCATACAATCATCATCACCAGCATGGATATTACAATTCTGAATTATAAGTTAAATCAAACTGATATCAAAATACTACTTAAGCTTGAACATATTCTAGCTGCCATCATCTAGAATGAAATTTTTAAGCTTCAAGTTCTCACGGTTGATGCAATCCGCAAGCATTGGACACTTGTTGAAGCATTTGTCAAGTAACCAAATGTCATTCATGACATTAATACATGCACCGTTACCTATTCTCCACCTGACAATAGGCATAAGGAAAGAAGTTCCATTCAAAATGATGGATCTAGCCGCAGACTGTCCATTCTTAGGCTTATCATTCCAGGTATCCGAGCCATATTTGCCTGTTAAGGATTTGTGAAGCAGAGAAGAGGGATTCTGATAAAATCTCCATGCGATTCGAGCTCTGAGAGGTCTAGTTTTCTTAACTGCAGAAACCAAACCTAAACCACCAAGAGCTCTCGGTAGGCGGAGCTCATCCCATGCAACATAGTGAAGGCCTTTGGTCTCCAAGCTATGGTGCCAAATGAAGTCTCTACAAATGTGGTCTAATTCATAGAGAATTCTCTTAGGGATCAAAGAATGAGTTGAAATAAAGGTAGGCAAGGAGAGTAAAGAGGACATAGCTAGTATCATCCTTCCAGCCATAGAGAGGGATTTGACACTCCACGCATTAAGTTTTTCCAAAGCGTGATCAATAACAAATTGGAAATCTTGCTTAACCAAACGCCTAAGAGCAATTTTGGTACCCAAATACTGAAATTCATCTACAATCTTGAGATCAAACTTGTTACCAATTCTCCGTTTGATAACAGGTCTAATAGATTTGCCGAACATGATTTGTGACTTGGCCTGATTGATGCTCTGTCCAGTCCAACCACAGTAGTCCCTGATCAATTTCATCATGAAACAAAGCTTATTGGAGGAAGCTTGAATGAACAATAAAATGTCATATGCATAAAGTAGATGAGTAATACTCGGTGTTCTAGGAGAGATTTGAATGCCTAGATGATGGCCCCATTGACTGATGACACTGAAGAGGAGCTGAGAGCATAAAATAAAAAGATAAGGCAACATTGGACAGCCTTGTCTGAAGCCACTCTTGGCTTCAATCCATCAAGTGTTCTTTCCATTAAGAAGAATGGAGAAGCGAATGTTAGTAACACATTCTAAAATAAGGAGTGAGAAGTTTTCGGGAATACCGAACCAGATGAGAACCCGCCTCAGGGTCTCCCAGCACATGCTATCAACGGCTTGGGCTATGTCAAGCTTAACCACCATAAGTCCCTTATTATGCTTTGAGAATCTAAATTTGTTGAAAAATTCCAAAGCCAAAAGGCAATGATCAGTCAATGATCTTCCGGGAATAAAAGCCACCTGCTCAGCCGAGACGAGCTTTAGAAATACAGCATTTTAGTCTGTTAACAATCATTGTAGCGACAAATTTATAAACAGTTTGACAGACGCTGATGGGTCGAAAATTAGATGGTGAAACCGGAATTTTGGTTTTGGGAATGAGAACAACCAATGTATCTTTCCAATTGCAATTCATACATCCAGTAGTAAGAAATTTCTTGATGGCCTTCCAGGTTACGTCTTTAACTGTTTCCCAGTAGAATTTGAAAAAAGACGAGGTGTAGCCATCAAGTCCAGGAGACTTATTTTAGCCTTGCTAAAACACAACAGTAGTAAATTCGGCTTCAGTGAATTCATTTTCCAAAGAAGTTCTTTCAGCAGCATTGATTATCTGTTCAGGATGAGCCATAGGCCAGTTAAGATTATTGCAATTCCTGTGTTTCCACTTTCCTTCAAAGAATTAAAAAAAATAGACTTGATGAGGTCTCTGTCTTCAACCATAACATTGTTCTCATCCTTAATCTGTCTGATAAGATTCCCATTTTTTCTTGCCGAAACATAAGCATGATTAAATCTAGAGTTAGAGTCACCTTCCTCATTCCAAGTAGTCTTAGCTCTTTGGTTCCATCACATCAAAAGTCTGAGTAAGGTAATGTTGAGTTCCCTTACCTTATCACGCAAGAGAGCATGATTTTTGGGATTAAGTCCGCCTTCCATTTCCTCTTGTAATTGAAGCTTTACGATGTCACTCTTAAGATCTTCATTAAGAAGAATAAATTTCTGACATTTGTTCATGTTCCAAAAAAAAAAAGAGATTTTAGAGTTCTCTTAGTTTTCTTATTAAGGATATCAGCTTCGTCACCAAAATCATGCTTGCCCAAAGCATTGGAAACAATTTTTCTGGCAGCGGGATAGGATTTCCAAGTGTCTTCAAATCTAATAGTCTTCACTTTGGTGTGCTGTGTATAATCAAATTTGAAAGCAATGGGGAAATGGTCAAAGGCAATCCTCGCCAAGTGCCTTACAGTAGCAGTTGGAACAAGCTGGAGCACCGCTGTGTCTAGAAGGCAGCGGTCAAGACGCTCCTAGATTCTAGCATTACCTTGCTTGTTGTTGCACCATGTAAATCTAGGACCAATCATATCCAAATCATGGAGATCATTGTTACTCATAAATAATTTCATCTCCTTGGGACCATTAGTCATACAAAAACGCTTACCACCCCTTTTATAATCCTTGGAAAGAAGGCAGTTGAAGTTACCACCAACTATGGTAGGTATCTCATCCGTAAGTAGATGTTCTAGGCTGTTCCAGAGGTCTCTTCGGACCTGTAGTTCCTTGTGACCGTAAACCATAGCCACATTCAAAAGCCTACCATTGGGATCATTCAAAGCACCAAAAATACACTGTGGGGAGTGAGCAGTAACATAAAATGTTACCAAATTATTCTTCCATATAACTAAGATACCACCAGTAATGCCAGTAGCTGGTTGATGATAAAAATTCCAGTCATTGCCAATAAGCCTATTGACAAACAGCCTATCAATAAAAGATAGTTTAGTTTCAGCAAGACCAATGAAGAAAACAGCATTGTCTTTCAAAATCTCCTTAAGGTAGAGGGAGGTCTCTTTCTTCTTGACCCCTCTACAATTCCAAAAAAAGAGGGAAGACATTAATTAATTGAAGGGGAAAAGTCCCCGCCTTTTTTCTTGCCTTTGCCTTCAACTCTCCTCTTCCTAGACAATGGTTCAATTGGTCTAAGGAATTTCAATTGGGGTTTTGATTTCAGCTTAATAGACTTATGTTCAGTCGAATCACCTCTGATCTAATCCTCAGAATTGATTAAAGAAGTGTCTGTGACCATAACCTCCATATCACCATTAGGAGAATTACCGCTGTCAGCCTTAGAATCAATATTCAAAGCAGTCTTAGAATTTCCCATAGAACAAGAGGGAACTAACGAGAAACCATCAACACCTTGACACGAGACTTGATTAAAAGGATGCACGTTGGAGTCTTCAAAAACTTATGATATAACAACTGCCTTAGCATCAGATAAAATAGGTGGAATGTTAGTCCCAATAGGATCCGGAATAACTGAGACGGTGTCAACTATATGACTCAATTCCTCATCAACAAGGACATTGAAACTATTGGATAAACAGATATCCACATTATAATTAGCATTCATTAAAGATTCCCCACAACCTGCTTTCGGTGTCTCCGCAAAAGGAGGCTTAACTGGCTTGCTTGTGATGTTATTATTAACATCAAGATGCTTGTCCTGATGATTAATTTCCTTTTCCTTATACTCCATGCAATTCCCAATATGATTCGGTCTCTTTTTAAATTTAACATGAATCCACAACCCATAATTTTCCTATATACTGGAGTGAGAGGTCTCCTGATTGACAGTATCGGTCGGATCATTGTGTGTAGCCTTCTTGAACACACGTTCAGGACAATTGGATTCCAAGTGACCAATTCTGGAACAGTGAAAGCAAAAGGAAGATAGCTTCTTGTACTCGACCTTTTGGAAGAAATGACCTCCCAAACCGTCCACCCAGACTCCCGAAGGGAGTTTGGATTCAAGGTTAACACGAACGTAGATGCGAGCAAATTCCTTTTTGCTCCAATTGAGAGAATTCCCATCTAAGAACATCGGGGTGCCTATTCTTAAAGCAATTCTGGCTATATTGACTTCATCCCAGCAATTTAAAGGAAATAAGGGAAAGCGAATCCAAACCGGAACAGTTAAACCTTTAAGGGATAAAGGCGAAAAAGATGGCAACCATTTGTCTAATCCAACAATGTGGCCACCAATATACCATGGTCCCCCACTTAAGAATTCCTCCATTACATCATTGGGCTTGAAAGAGAAGAGAATCCAATTAAGGCCTAAGGAAGTCAGGTGAAAATTCCCAAACCGGTTCCATTGCTTATGAAGCTCGATGCTACAGATTGAGAACGGAATGTTCTTCCCCAAAACCTTCAGAATAATAGAATTAGAGAGGATCTTGGAATTAGCAATCTCTTGTTCTGAATTCATCTTAACCGCTACCCCATCAGAGGATAATTCAATTGAATTGATATCAAAATTTAATTTGATGTGGTTGGGCATCCTCCAGGCGTTGAGAAAAGAATTCTTTGGTTGTCTGCAACAACGACAAAATCCTCTGCTTTGTTAACAACCAATGGAACAGTAGCAATTGGATTAGTAATGCATCTGAAATTAGACGCACAAATGTTGCAAATTCAGGTCCATGAACTATGTTTTGATGATTGGAAAACACTCTTACTTGACTTGGACTGTCTTTTACTACTGACTTTTCAGGAATCAAAGATCGGACAGAAAAATAGAGCTAGCTCAAGATGGGGTAGATTAGGGTTGAGTCAGTCTGTAATTTTATCTTTCCTTTCTTGAGTCAATTGTAATCTTTGGTGTGACTAATGCTAAGTAACCCTACACACACACACTTGAGAAACTTAGAATTTCTATTTTTACTCAAATCAACCAGGACAATATTTTACATCGTCCTGGATGAACGGGCTTAAAACAGAAAATCTAATCAGGTGTTCTTAATTAAGGCAGCCGTCATTAGCCAATCGACCTGGATGATACATGTATCAGCCAGGACGATAAGCTCAAAAAAGAAAGAAATTGCCGCCATAAACAATTAAGGTATTATGTAATTTTTGGTAATCAGCTAGGACGATCTTGGATCGGCCTGGAGGATATTCAAAATTATGCTTTAATTAATCTGACAAATCAAGAAAGTAATTAAGGATGATTGATACGATAATATCATCCTGGACGATCTATTAAAAACCTTAGTTACTTCTGGACGATAAATATCGGCCAGCATAAATTCAGGGCGATGTGCTGGACGATCGGGATCGGACAGCTTGAATTCAAGGCGATGCTCTGGATGATTTTCTTCTGATTTGAACTGATCGGTGTGGACGATCAAGCCAATTTTCAATCATCCAGTTTGCATTCAGGGCGATGCTCTGGCCGATCTCATGAAATTTGTGCTGATCGGCCAGGACGATTTCCATATCATCCTGGACGATATTGTCGGCAACTTGTAATTAATGAGCTCCTTTGAAGCTCTTCTACTTAAGAGCTCTTGTTCAACATTTTTGAACAATCTTTTACTGCTACCTTGAACTGAGAAGACCTTGAGGAGAGAAAGAGAGAGAGAGAGAGAGAGAGGATCTTGTGAGGGGGAGCTTGTGAGGGGATTCACAATGGTTACTTTAAGGATCGCTCTACTTCTTCTTCGTCTAGAGTTTCTCATCCGTGGAAGGGTCAGTAGAGGTAAGGATTCAACATCTGATTGTGGTTCTTTACCAGCTTCAGGAGGAAGCAAAAGGAGATAGGTTCTCTGCCTTGCCGGAGTGGAAAAAAGAGGTTCTTTGTAAAGGCTTATCCGCCTAGCTGTGGGGGAAAAAGGAGAGTCACGAGCATAGTGCAATACTCGAAGGGCGCCTCCGGGGAGTGGACGTAGGTCGAGTTGACCGAACCACTATAAATTTATGTGTTCTTATTTCTTTCTTTCGCACTTTAATTTCCGCACATATTTTTGTGGTGTGATTTTGGTTTATGTGATTTCTACTTCTTTGTGAAAAGAATTTTTAAAATACCAATTCACCCCCAATTTGTTAGCTTGGGCTAGTTCTATAGGGCTTAACATCCCTAACAAACTTTCAAGTGGTATCAGAGCGGGATTCATAAAAATTAGTTTGAAAACTTTTTAAATTTTGATCCATGGATAACTTTGGGAATCGTAACACTACGAAAGGGTATTCTATTACCTGACCTCCCCTGTTCGATAACCTACCTTTTGATTTCTGGAAAACCTGCATGTCAACATTTTTATAATTTACTGATTATCGCATGTGGATGCTTATCAAAGAAGGTTATTCTCCACCTTCTCATGAAATTAATGGTGTTAAAACTGAAATTGCTTTTACTGAATGGACTTTCGATGAAAGAGATTTAGCTCAATTGAATGCAAAATGTTTGAACTGTTTTTTCTGTGCTTTAAAATCTAAGGATTACATGCGTGTTTCTACTTGTTCAACTGGTAAAGAAATTTGGGATAAATTGTGTATCACTTATGAAGGCACTAATGAAGTTAAACAATTTCGTTTGAATATTCTCTTGCATGGCTACGAACGTTTTCGTATGAAACCATCTAAATCTGTTTCTTACATGTATACTAGGTTTACACAGATAGTCACTT